AAAGTTGATAGACCTATGGACCTTAAAAACTGTGATTTTTAGTGATTAGTGCCATACTTGGCCAAATAACTTTACTTACGCGCTCTTTCAACAATCCTTCCTTCTTCGGATCAAATATTGTTGAACTGATTTCTTTTGGAACAGAGGAGAAATATCAGTTGCTTAATGCTTTTGAATATATTTCCTAGCCAATTTCTTTTTTTCTTTCAGCTACTCATCACTTTTCCTCACATTTTATCAACCCTATTCCAACAAATCATTCTTATCAATAAACATATCATTTATTTTACCCATAGTTGTTTTAGAAATATTCTTTTACTAGCCTCCGCTGACATTGCAATAATTGAATATTACAGTAACCCCTTATAATGTAAATTAAATAAAGGGAGCAAATAAATATGCGGATTGCTTTGAATTGCATAATACAAATAAGGTTGAAACGGCGACAATCGCTAGCAACACCTCTTTATCTTATCGCTCTAAAGTGATTTTCCCGGAACGGTAAAACTCTTATCACTCTCAAATCTGAATGTTTCTGTTTAAACTTGACTGAAATTGGATTATTTTTGTTAGGTTTCTTCTCTGTTATTTGCATCTCTCCAAATTGCAATACAAAATACAATTGACAAGGGGCCCGGGGAAAGGTGATCAAGACAAATAGGACACTTAATTCTCACCTGATAGCTGCTTAAAATTTGGGACCTCCCCTACTCACTTGTAATCCTGCTTAGTTTATCGTCATTGAGTAGTGTTGCCCAAAATCGATCTTGGTCTTGCACTTTGCAAGATCAAGACCAAGGCAGCCTAACTGCTGCAAGACCAATACCAGGACAGGTAAAAAAAAATCTATTTTTAAATAAATAAATAGAATTTTAAATAAAAAATTAAGGCAAAATAGTTACCAATACTTGACAATCTTAGTTACTATATGTTAATAATTGGTATAACAAATATACTTTTGCATTTAACTCCTCCAATTTTTCATTCGGGCTTACTGAGGTTTCTCCTATCTAAAAAATTACAGTAATATTGGCATAGTAATAAGCTAATAAGTAAGTGCAAGACTGTTGCGAGACTCTTGTGCAAGACCAAGACCGTGACCAAGACTGAGATTGCAAGACCAAGACTCGTCTCGGTCTCGCATTTGAGCAACACTATCATTGAGTTATAAATTCAAGTCACAGGCGGATCTACGGAGGGAGGACTTTCGGACTGAAGCCTCTCCTCCCCCCCCCTCAAATGGTAACATGTAACCATGTTTTATGGACAAAAATTATAGAGAGAAACACTTTATTTTCATAAAATATAAAGGATTGCTGCCCAATTATATTGGGTTGCTATACACAGCATACTCTTCTATTCTTAAGACAATATATGAACTTATATATAAATATACAGAAGTATTAGTTAATATTAGTAAAATAGAAATATATATATATATATATATATATACATTTTTATTATTTTATTTATTTTTATAATTTTTTTTTTCCTTTTTCCTTCTTCTCATTGTTCATGCTTTTTTTTTTTATTTAACATTAAGTTTCCCTTTCTCTCACTTCTCTCTCTTTATCTCTATTGTTTTCAATTATTCACTAAATAAATAAATAAACAAATACATAAATTATTATTGCTCGTGTAATTACATTTAATGGGACTTAAAGAATCACTTAAACACCATTTCATATAGGTAGTTAATATCTTTCTTTTTTTTTTTTCGAAGTAATTATCGTTATGTATATGAAATAAAAAAAGCTGTCGGGCTGAAGCCCCCTCCCCCAAATTTAAATCCTGGGTCCGCTAGTGATGCAAGTCAATAATTGGAGCTTATTTTAGCCTCATTCGATGCAGTGTTCAAAGTAATTCAAATCGATCATGACAATGTCAATCCTTTTCTTCTTTTTTTAAATACACTAAAATCAGTATTGGATGTTCTTTTTTTTTTTTTACTCATTTCTCAGAACCATTTTTCTATCTAGCGTCCGTCATATTTGCAGATTTTTTTAAAACGATTTTTTTATTTAAGTAAATATATCAAGTTTATACATTGAGTTGCTCATTCAAGGATTGTCAAATTTGGCGACTTGAATAAGCCAATTGGAGCAAAGAGTGGCGCCGAACCTAAGGCAGAGCCATGTCAAAGATCAATGCCTCAATAGAAATGATATTAAGCTAAAAAGCTGCAATGATCCTCATCTGAGATTAGAGGAAGAGTCATTACTCGAGAATTTATTTTAGCAGCCTAGGAAAAATCTATTTGACCCCGAGGTACCTACAGGTGAACATTTAGCTGATTAGATTTTAGAGAAGATTAAAGAAAAAAAAGTTTACAAACATATTACTAAAATCATATTTATTTTGATCTCAGTTCCTTAGATCGAATTGCAATACCGCGGGTGGAAGTGAGACGCTGGGATCCTGGAGTCCTGCTTTGTATTCCAAATTTGGGGGGGGGGAGAGGGAGGAGAAGACAAAGCTTGCCTAGGACTTTCCTCGGCGAATGTAAATATTGTACACAAGTGTGAATGTGTTTAAGAAGATTTACATTATTTTTACTTTTTTATTCATTTCACTTTATATTATAAACTTATTTGTTCTCTCTTTTTCATAATTTATACTTATTTCCTTATTGTATCTACATAAGGTATGAAAGAAAACTTATTAAATACTTATTATTCCTCGATTGGGCAGATTGTATTATTATTCAATAAAATAAATACATAAAAATCTGCTAAGAATAATTTATTATCATTATTTCTTATAAACTTATTCGTTCCATGCTTAATAAAACGTGATTCATATTGAACAGTACGTTAAAGTTAATTTAATGTTATTACTAAAAAAAATAAAAAAAATTATGTCGTCACCATATTTATTGAAGACAAAAATTATATTACAACAAAACTTTCAATAATTTCAAGTTTGTATATATATATATATATATATATATATATATATATATATATATTTATTTATAATATATTTATTTATAATATATAATAAATGGGGGGCTGGGGTAGCCGTACGGGCTAAGGCACTTGCTATAGGTAATCAAGGTTAAGCAACGTCGAGCGTGGTTAGTACTTGGATGGGTGACAGCCCGATTTGGGTGACCGTACACCAGAGAAAAAACCATGCTGCCCGAGCCTCTGCCCTAACCACCCCCCTGGTATGTGAGACCCGTCAGCCTAATGGAGGCAACACACACCGACCGGGGCGTAGGACTGATCACCCTACGCCGTGCACTTAATCGAGATTTGGTCTACCAGGATGTTAGTAGCCACCCTGAATTTCGGTCCATGGACAGTCTGTTTCGGAAAAAGAAATATAGGAGGCCCTCGTGCGCCTGCTGACTCTGAGCAGTCATAATCCATGGATCTAGACCGATTTGTCACTGTTCTTGAACCCGAGTGAGTCGGTGGGAAGTATACTGCCAGATTGGCCCCAAAGGGATCGGCTATGCACCTACGGGTGGCCTGCCGCTGTACCATGGAAACCATGGTTCGTAGCAACGTGAGGTTGGGTGTCCCCTTCCAGGCTATCTGAGCTCCCGTAAGCAACATACACCTGTAAGGAGACCTCATCTCGCGGCCAGAGATCTTCATGGTTTGTAATGCGAAACCGGAAAAATATATATATATATATATAATACAACGGCGATTAGTACAGCAATGTAGTTAATTGTAATGCAAATAATTATCATCTCTTTATCAATAACATGTAACCTACTAATGGGGAATTAAATAAGCAACAATTACTCCCGTATATATCGTTTTTTTTTCATGCCCAATCCAAGTTGAGAACTGGTATAATTTTGTTTTATTAGTTAATAAAGAAAGTTTGAAAAGTTTATTTATTAAGAATTGGAATAAGGGAATTTAAAGGAACATTTGAAGAGAGAGATTGGAAGTAGGGGACGGGGTTTCGACGTTGCATACATATGAAGTAGCCTCCTCACATGCGCTTAAGAATTATCATATCAACAATGCTCTCCTCATCTTTAGGTCAATCCACTCCTCAACCAACAATTCCTATCATAACATCGTCACTAGGTCTATTAAGGGCTCATTTCGTATTGTAATATATTTAAAATAGAGGCTGGGTATGCCCCAGGAGAGTCTCTCGACCCCAGGGTCGATCCACGGCTGATGAAGCAGAATAAATAAAATTATCTGCCACAAGCCGGGATTCCAACCTGGGACCATGAAAATAGGAAGCTGAGCGCCCTACCACTGAGCCATTCCTTACTGAAACAATTCTTTATACTTTTAACTTTAACCACAACCTTTAAGTCGCGAATGCACAGAAAAATAAATAAATTATTAATAAATAAAACAATAAATAAATGTATTGGTTCTATTCTATGTATAAGTTCTATTCTAAATTTTTATTAGACACTAAATTCGTTAATCATATGAAGTGACAAAAATCGGGGGATAACCTTCGCCCAACTCTCATATTGAGCTTCTGCTTTTTGAGATAAAATGATTACTTCATAACGCTCATAGTGATTGTTAACGATAGCAAGTTTTAATACTTGTTAATTTTTTTTGTGTTTTTGTAATAGCAATTTACACAACTGGTCATAATAAGCCAAAACATTTTTAACTGTTAACTTTTCGAAATGTGCATAATTATTTGTTTTAATTATTTATTGATTACTATAGCGAAGAAACACCGATGTGAGATTAATTCAGTATTAGTTTATTTTAGAAATTTTTTGATGATACTTATACTTTCTATATGTTAAAATCAAAAGCAAATTTTCTTCGTCTCGAAGAAATTTCATTAAAAATATGGTTATGCATTTTTTTTAATTATGAAACTGGAATGGCTGGCTTATACATAATCATGCTACCTCTAAGGGTGAGATTAATAAAGCAGATATTAGCTTTGAACGGACAACCCAAAGAGCACGCCCCTAAGACAAGGGTGCTGGATTTCAAGTTCCCTGTTTGGTTATCGGACATCAAATAATATTTCAATAATTATAACCATACCTAAACCAATTGATATCCTCTTCTCTGCTAAAATCCTCTCCATCGTAACCACTCCTTTGGACTTCATAATAATACGGTTGCTTATGTTGCTGTGTTTCTGGCGAAGAGAATCCATAAAAATCACTAAACTCTTCGAGAGGCATAATATTATGTTCCCACCAAAGGGCCGAATACAGCACGAGCATCTATTATTAGCAACCGATACTTGCGAAATTCCAGCCAGTGTTACCTAGGTACAGAAGAAAAATTTCCATAATTATTATCTGCCCATTATTATTTCTATCTATTATAATATCCCAGTAACATAAACTAATTATAATCTAATTGTTTTTTAGAATTAGAAAAAAGAAGAAATTAATTTATTTCTTAATGTAGTAGGACTTAGGAATATCGGCACGTTTCAATATATCCGCCTGCAGTGTTCCAGTTCGATATTTGCATTATATCTTAAACTTAGAGAACTTTCATTTTATCATATGATATTTAATCAATAAAATATTTTTAATCCACCGCATTTAGAAAATAAAACAAATATGATTTTCACTAGTTGAACAAAATACGTGGAATGTAAGAAAAATTAATTTAAATATTATTTATACCGAGATTGTATATGCTTCCTGCAACAAACGCCGCGGCTGTAAAAACACAAATTTCAAACAGAAATATAACCGCATAAAAAGGATAACTTAAAGAATTGAAATTTTGAAAAATATGCTAAAATTTGAATTTGATTGAACATATTCATTTTAACGCAGCTATAATTAACCAATTTACAGTGTTCAGTAGCCAGCCATTATTGAAATAAATGTTGATACATTGATCAGGATTATTGAAAAAGTAAAAATCCCCTGGGGCATATTCCTGGTTCTATTCCTTAGAACAATACAGTTTCTCTTGTAAGGGTAGCAACTAACAACCTCAATGCTTGAAACTCATCATATCAAGCCTGGGCTACGGGGGCCCATTAAAATCAGTAATTATTATTGAAATAATAATTACGAAAACAATTATTTAGATGCCTCAAATAGTAGTGGATAGTAAAATGATTTGATTTCTCAGATTAGGGCCAAAAATTCGAAAATAATTAAAAACCAGTCAAATTTAAAAATAAGGATAATCTCTTAGAAACGAGAGGATTAGAAAAAAAGACACATTGATATCGGGGAAGGTCCATCAGATCCCATACTATCTTCCAATCCACTGGTTATCTTTGGCAACGGAATGAGAGCCACCTGAATTAACTCCTTAATATCCTCCAACTTTATATTCCATGAAAATACTGAATTTTCGTTTGATGATAATAGCATGAATGGCGGTTGGTTATAAATAGTTGTTTTTTTTTTTTATCAATCTTATTTATTGAAAAATATTACAATCTGTCTCAAGGACATTTATAATAGTGAGTTCTTTATTAGTGCTCCAAAACGGGATGATATATAATTAGGATATAATAGTTTTGGTGCAAAAGTCTATACACTTATAACATTTACGTGTTTCGGTAGCCATTTGAAAGTAAGCGATGGATGGATGGTAATGTGGCAAGATCCTTTAGTGATGTCACATGATGATCAGCCTTAGAGAAAAGTCGTGAGCAAACGGATTTGTTAATTATTGTTCTATTTTTAGATTATTTATTGAAAATAATAACAATATAGCGACGCATAAAATATTGATCAGTTTTAACTTGTCATTTACATGTGGCCCGATCAAGATATTAAGAATATAGCCCTCCTACCATTAGTCTTATTCCATAAATAAAGATGGTAAATTTTTAATTATGTTTTGACGATAGATATTTTAAAACAAATGAATACTTTCTTTAATCCTCAAAGTTGACGATGCATTTTATAATGTTATGGATATGTTCGTGATGGATAATTTTCAGGAATCATTTATTTAGATGAGTAGTGGAGTCACGCGAAGGCAAAAAAAAAAGCGAATTCTCTTTTGATAGTCTTATATCAAGGATCGAACTCAAAAATGAATAAGTCTTTATTAGCAGATATTCTCTGCCAAAAACAATTAAATCCGATCTTAACATTAGTTAAAAATCTCAGTGATGGGTCCTCCAAAATTTTTCACATTTCTTGATAAGTATTCGATTGATCTAAAATTGAAAGGATGACTCACTATTGGGAATAGATAGTATTAAATATTATTTAAGAAACATATTTTAAATTTGAATATTTCAAGGAAGGGCTAATGTTTTTATTCCAGACAAAGTAGCTTTGTGTGAGTCAAGTGTACAAGTCAAATATGAATGCGTTTTCAAATAGTTTTTTAAGTATTTAAATTTAATTATTTTTTATTTTATAATTGGGAAATATACCAAATAGATTGAATATCATAAGAAAATCAATGGCAATCGAATAACTTCCTCTAACAAAAGGTATAGAAGATAGCTCTGAGACACTTTTCAAATTTTTTATTTGTCAATTTATTATTTTTTTAAGGGATCAGAGATTCGTTTACTAAAAACATCTTTATTAGTTATCATTGTACTTGATAAATCGATTTAAAAAAAAAAACATTAGGACTACATAATATTTTCAAAATGTAATACTCTCTGATAGCTAGTCAGCAATGACAATGAAAAAATACAAAATTTATTATTTAAAATATACAACAGGATACCTCGAATTAAGTTCATGTCACATCATCAAGAGTGAGAGCAACAAACTGAACGAGAAAGCCCCATCTTAAAAAAAAACTTGAAAATTCTCATTTTTCAGCAGGACCATAATTGAAAGTATGATGAAGAGTTTCAACGACATTTCCAACAAAATAACCAAAAGTCAATTACAATTTACCATTAATATTCATTCAACTTACGGGAGCAATTTCAACGGAAGTGAGGCATAATGTCATTTGAGAGTTTGGACACCACCACCCCACCATCCCCCTCCTCACTGAATACTCAATCCTAAATTACTCCATTACAGTAAGTCGTAAATTTTACAATTGTACTCGTAATCGATTAAAATATATTAACGTAAGAATTTAATTAATAATTTTAATGAGAGCGTGTTATCCAGTTTCACCGCTAGAAATGTTAGAAAAAGCTACTCAAAACATTATTGAATGAATAAAAAACATAAATGAATGGTCCAGTAGTAGTGGTGTAATTCTGAACAGGTGAATATTGTAAAACACATATGTTTTCTGTTTTATCAGTCCGTTGGTTGCCACCAATTGCACCTGCTGAGGCTCTATAAGTTGGGCACCTGACCCTTCGGTTCGGTTACGAGAATGAAATAAGGAGGTTTCGACATAATCCAGATGAACTCAAGGTCTAGATACAGCACATTATAACTAGCAACACGTATTATTGTAAAAAACCATTAATAAATATTACATAAAATTATATCACTAAGAACTTTGATGTTTGATAATGAGAAGAATGTATAATTAGTATAACTATATAGATAAATAATATGGTTTTATTTTTTTGATGGAGGTTTTGTGTTTTGCATCGATAAATAAGGTCGAAATTCACAATAAACGTTCTTGAAAGTACTTTTCTCCATCCAAAATATATTTAGTGACTTTTTACTATAAACCGATAATATGTAAAATAAAAAAAAATTCTATGTAATCATACTTTCTTCACAAATATGTTAAAAAATGATAAATGTGTTTGAATAAAATCCTGAAAGTTGTTTTATAAATCTAAAAAAAAAAAGTGTATCTGGATTAAGAGTTAAAATTATGTAATAATTTAATAAATCCAAAATAATATAAAATAATGCTTACTCGTACATTTTTTATATTTATGTATATATTTCGACAGATTAATGTAAATATAGAAAAACTATGAATAAAGGGAGGTAACTACATTTTTATTTATTTTACTAAATATTTTGGGAGTGGGGTAGCTCACTGGATTGGAAGCTATCCTGAAGCTCTCGGCTCATAGCAGAAAATTTATTTATCTGTTTCATTGGCCCTTCTGGGGCACACCCAGCCTCTATAAAGGGGGTACCCTTAATTAAATAATTAATTAAAACTGGCGGTTGAGCGTGATCTCGGTCAAATCACCTCCTTTCACAACCATTGACCTAGAAACAGTGCTTCCCCTACATGGTACTAAACCCCCATTAAGACCCTTAATGGGTTGCAGTGGTCCAGTTTTTTTTGTTTTTTTTTTAACTAAATATTTACAAAGGACTGAAAGATTTTAGTTTTCTCCATAATGATGTATCACAATCTTCGCTTCATGAGCAGGTTATCGCATATTTTCAGCTTCCAAATTAAAGGGGATGGCCACTAGCCCCTTCCATGGGGGTGTCCCTACATCAATTAATATTTAGTATAGTTTGCCCGATGTACATTTCTAAAAGAAAATTGTAATTGGTATAGCAGCTCTTAGAAATAATAAGAAAAATAAATCTTGGCTTAATAGTTACTTAGCGTTACAAAATGTCTGTTAGCCCAAATCGTAGACTTTTTTTCACATCAGGAAACAAAACATCATCACCTACAGAATATTTTCAGAGTGAAATGAACAAATGTATTTCGAAACTATGGCTTGAAAGGTTGATATTACTCGAGGAATTTTAAGGATTAAACAAAATCAAAATTAGTAGGAGAAAATACTTTCCAACTTCCCGAGCCTAAAGAGCCTGGAACATTTTCCTAACCCAAAAATCACCTAATTTTTTCATTAGTGTTAGGATCAAGGTTCTTCTATTTGTTATAAATTTTTTTTTCTTCTAGATTTTAAATATGAATTTCCTTTGTTGACTAAGTATGGACGATATGTAGTACGCCCTAATTTGTAAAAATATGTAAACTGACGTAGAAAGGCGTAGCATTCTTAGGAAGAGATAGAGATATGTTAACAGATATAAATAAACACTACATTCATGGTTTTTAATAGTAATTTTTTCTTTTTTTAATTTTTGTTTATATGGTTATTTAAAAAAACGCTCTATGAAGTGGTAAAATAGTTTTACATTGAAACAGCTAACAGGGCAACGAACTCTCAGTTTTATAACCAATGTTTAGACAAAGTACATCTTTTTTTTTTTTTATTTTAACATTTATTTATTGAGAAATATATAAGCTAAAGACATTACGACAAGTTTTAAAATTCGTTTCTATTGTCTATTCATTGATTGAATATATGTATGTATAAGTTGTTAGTATTAGAGAATATTTATGGTTGGAAGGATTGAGGGTGGGG